TGATATCCAAAAAATGCTAGCCACAGGGGCCTGTGTTCCTTTTCTGCTATTTCGATGCACTGCGTCAGTGAGAACAGATTGTCTTCCAACCTCCTGTGTTTCCGAAACCCATTCTGCAGTTCCCCCAGCACCCCCTCATCTTCTATCCACGCCTGCAGTCTTTCCTTTATAATCTGCATCGCCAGCCTGTAGACCACTGATGTCACTGTTATAGGACGGTAGTTTGTTTATGTCAGCTTTGTGCCCCGTTCCTTTATAGAGCATGCTCATCCTGCTAAGTTTCCATCCATCGGGAACTTCACCATCGATTATTATTGTGCTCACTGCCTTTCTCAAAGCCTGCTTAGACTTCGGACCTAATGTCTTTAGCAGCCTAATTGGAATGCCATCTGGGCCTGTCGATGTACTACTAGGAACCCTTTTCTCAGCCCTTTCCCACTCTTGTTGTGAAAATGGAGCCATTGCACCACTTGATTCGTCCTTGTCTATTGTGGTGCATAAAGTACTTCTTTGTTGAAAATTTTCTGTCACCCTTGTTCTTATATATTCAATAGCTTCGTCCCCTTCTAGCCTAGCACCTTGGGCTGTAGTTATAAAACTCTGCTCTAGGCTCGTCTCATTTCTTAGGGAGTTTAGATGGTTCCAAAATTTCGCAGCTGCCTTTCTATCTTTTTTATGTACTTCTGCCAGCCACTGAGCTCCCTTCCTTCTAATCTTTTCATTGATCAGAAGGTATGCATCCCTTCTACAGCTTAGAAAGGTTGCCCATTTTCTTTCAACATCATCTGTCGGTTCACCCCGCTGCTTAGCATGTCTGTGTTCTCTAGAGGCTTCCTGACGTTTTTCTATGGCTCTCTTAACTTCCTCATCCCACCAACTTTTGGGTTTGGGTCTTCTTTTCCGGGGTGACTTGTCACGCGTCTTAGCAAGCTCTAGCTCAAAGAGTCTAATTAGATTCGTGTATGTCCACACTGTCTTATTATCCTCCGTGATTACTTTCTCAATTTGTTTAGTGGCTATTTCAATTTGCCTTTCTGGATAAAAATTTTCCTGTAGTTGCTCATCTTGTCTCCTTCCCACTTTCACTGCTCTTCCAAAACTTAGCTTGATACGTTTGTGATCGCTACCCAGACTTCTGGAGCCACCTTCATCTATGTGCATTCCCTTGAGCTTATCATACATCCTATGTGACATCAGTGCATAATCTATCGTCGACTGAAGCCTTCCTACCTCCCATGTTGTTTGCCCTTCACACTTCTCGGTACTGTTGCAAATGATCAAATCAAGCCTTTCACACATATCCATGATCATTTTGCCTGTCGGGTCGTAAGCAAACAAATGCTCGTAAGCACAACGCCCCCTACCGCACGGTTGTTGTGAACCCGAAATGTGGTCTATGGGCGAGAGACATGCGCCAATGAGGCGCAAGCAACTTTACAGGAGGGTGTTAGCACCTCCACAAAGCTGAACCACATTTCACGTTACGTTCGAACGTTACGGCGCGAGTAAATAGAGAGTTATAATATACCGGGCTTACCGTTATACCGGGCGTACCGTGATACCGGAATCGAAGTGCGCATGCGCAGATACGTACGTTACGCGTACCGCTTACCGTACGCACGGTATTTTTCAGATTTAAGGTAGCGTAGGTGCACGTAGTGTACGTAAACATGGCGGCGCTCTCGGACGCCCGCTTCGAAGTGATTTTGGCGTAGTTGTTGAAAGATTCACCTTGTTCGCAGCAAACGACTGTTCAGAGTGGCTTCGCTTGCCTTCAGTTAGCTTCGATGATTGAGTATTACGGATAAGTTGGCGTAGTTTTTGAGATAGCTTCCCATTTCGAGCGCGCCTAGGCCTAACTACAAGATCAATGTAAACAAATCGGCAACGTAGATGTTTTGCGTTTTGTACGTGGTTCATATTTATTTACTTTTATTATAACAAAAATAAACTTCTAACAATGCTTCGCGTGGTGGCATAGGCAAACATTCTCGTTTTATTTTTTATTTTCACTGTTTAACTTATTAAACATCTAATAGGTAGCACCACCATCCCACTCGGGGTACGTAAACCACGTAAGCGCTATTTCACTAAACTATAAGACGCTGCCTACAACGAACGTTTGCTGCACGGTAGCGTCATTCCCTTAACCTACGCTATCACGCTAACGCTAAACTATAACTGTCTAATGTCGCCGAGTGCAGAAAATACGGGGAAGGTATACACGCTAGCTAGTTATAACTTATGTAGAGACATTATTTTTTCCCTTCCTGTCGAAGCTATGTTTTATTTGTTTTTATGTTCATCATGCCCAGGAGGTCCCCATTCAGTCTCCGACTACGGGACCTCCTTCTGTATACCGTCTGTAATGACTTTACTTCATAGTAACAATAAAATTTGATTCTGATTCTGACTCTGATCGACAATATTGAAGCCCTGCACGATGGACGAGAGGCGACTGTGCCGAGTCAAAGCCTAAGCAATGTACATGCTGCACGTAATTCGTGGGATGAAAGCTGACTGTGCATTAGACGCGGCCCGCAATGAATGCGTAAACGTGACAGCCGAGCAGTTTTACGACCTTTGCCATGGTGCGCTATAAGGCGATAAGTAGAAACAAGGCAGCCTGGAGGGAATGCATAGAAACTGGCCCCTCACGGGCGTGATAAAATGCACTCGCTTCCTCGCCGTCTTTCGCAACTGGGATCTCAAAAAGTGCACTATAAAACAGAAGCAGAAAATAACGGAATAGATAAAGTGTGTATGTTATGGCACACGTCGGTCGCCTGACTGTGACAGGTTTAATGTACGTGACTATATTTACGTACAGCGCGCACTTGGTTTTGTATCGATGCGTGCTGGTATGATGACCGTAACACTCGCACTGCATACACTTAAAAAAAACTCCTTCTGATGGTGCGATTAAGTTCCGGTTTAGGCGAAGGAAGAACAAAAAGACCTCACGCTTAATGAGTCGTGTCACGTTCCGACGGCGTGACACTCGCTATCAAAGCAATTCACGCAGCTTGAGTTGCGGATGAGGTCTGGTCTGTATATAGCGACCGCACCTTCCTTCGAGAAGCGCAAAAAAATTAATAAAGAAAAAAAACGTGTGCGTATCCATGCAGTCATGCGGGATGCGATCGACGAGCAATTCAACCTTGCTCACTATCGCTGCGCATCTTTTCTTTGTTAATGTTTTTAAATTAAGGCAAATGTAGAGGCGCTTACGAATTATTCTTGTGACTCAGTCGAAGCCGGCAAAGTGTTTTTTGCGTGGTGATTCAATCAAGAAATTTGTAGGAACAAGATAAAATCAGCGCGCGCGCATGATAGGGTACATAGAAGATAGTTGGGAGAGGTCTTCGTCCCGAAGTGTAAAATATTGTCATCATCATTATTATTACTATATTATTACTGCTATTATTATTATTATTATTATTATTGTTGTTGTTGTTGTTGTTGTTGTTGTTGTTGTTGTTGTTGTTGTTGTTGTTGTTGTTGTTGTTGTTGTTGTTGTTGTTGTTGTTGTTGTTGTTGTTGTTGTTGTTGTTGTAAACGTTTCTGGGTGAAGGTCATGCAACAGCAGAGAGAAGGAGAGGCAAAGACTTTGAAACTTCGATACTTTATCAATTTCAACACTCGAGATGCTGCAGGCCATGGTCAAAAAACCTCTAAAGGGCTTGACTGGGACCACGACCCTTTACAAATGCGTTAAGCCAACCAAAAAAACCGGTAAGCCAACCTGCCAAGAGTAAAATTCGTTAAAAGATGTCAGAACCGTTAGCAGAAATTTTTTCGAAGGGGTTCAACCATGCTTTATATATGTGCGAGCGTGTGTTATTTTATTTATTTGATTGATAGATTGATATGTGGGTTTTAACGTCCCAAAACCTCCATATGATTATGAGAGACGCCGTAGTGGACGGCTCCGGAAATTTCGACCACCTGGTGTTATTTAACGTGCAACTCAATCTGAGCACACGGTCCTACAGCATTTTCGCCTCCATCGGAAATGCAGCCGCCGCAGCCGGGATTCGATCCCGCGACTTGCGGGTCAGCAGCCGAGTACCTTAGTCCCTAGACCACCGCGCTGGAGCTTATTTATTTATATTTGGCAGAACAGGGGGAGGGGGGGTAGTATGCGTGCTTCTATATGTAAGACCCACGTGAAATTGCAAGATGTTGAGGAGATTTGAGTATGTACATCATGGGTTAGTAGAACAGGAAATACTTGAGCTAATGCAGTGAATTGTACGAAGCATTTTACTGTTGGCAAACTATATAGTTTTCGAAGCAGTTTTCGGGTCTGTATTAAACAAAAAAAGGAGCACACTTTGCGAACTCCATTTCACTTCACTTATCCCTAAGCCCAGTGTACCCAACTACAATTGATACGATCACTGTGAGGCATGACACTCGCTGTACAAGTTATCGAATGGCAATTAACGTACATGGCCGTTGGCATGATCTTGTCCTGCGGTACGAAGCCGTGTTGCGTCGCGGCAGGTAGAGGGGGATGGTGTGGCTTGGTTAGTGTCCCCGTAAATGCTCCTTTCTGCCCCTGTATATGCTGCCGCAGGGGGCAATACTATAACCAGAACTATAGTCGCGGGCAACTTTTCTTGGCAATGAATGGAAGGCTACAGAGCCAAAGTGGGTATATATAGGGATACCAGGGCTGCCGTGGCTGTGGAGTGGGGCAAGCACTCCTTTTCCCACATCTCTGCCGACGCCTATGGGGACACGATGACCCCGTAGTGTAGTCCAAAAAACCGAAAGCCGAGTGGAGGAAAGGCCAAATGGCCAGTTCCATGGACCTGGACAGCCGGCGCGGTGGCTGGCCTGCACCTGTGAATGTTGCTGTCTTGCGAAGTAACTCAATTTTGCTTTCGTGACAAGTATCGCAAACATGGAAATCATCTGCCTCATTTAACCTAGCGGACTACTGCGGAGCTAGGCCGTAGCTGCTGAATGTCCCCAACTCTGCGAGTACTCACTTCCAGCGCGTCACCGTTTTGTCCGGAGGAGGCTGAAACTCTGGGAGGCGGGCCCAAGACGCGAAGGTCTTCCAGAGGGGGGTCTCCGCCCGTGAAGAATCTGCGCATGCGCGAGACCAAGCTGCGGGACAGGGGCCGCCACGTGAGCAGGGACAGCTCCCTCTGGCCTGCGCATGTTGCGTACAACAGCGGGGGCACCATCACCAGTGCGCTTGAGGTACAGGGACGTTCATATTCAACACACACAAAAAAGAGCGAAAGCGCGAATTTACCGCTGCCTTGTTCTCGCTCAAATTTCGCACAAAACTTGCGTTCTAAACGCGAAAGCCTCGCATGATAAAAATGGTGTCCAATTAATGGTATTCCAGCTTCACGTGACCAAATGACGAGGTCATGTAAAGACGTCATAATGGCCGATAATGGTATGTTATGACGTCGTCGAGATATGATCAAGTGGCGTCGTCGCTTGGTTATAGGTGGAACGATACCGGAGGTAATACAACACCGGCTGTCGTGCAGAAAGCTACTAAAAGGAGGAGGATGGATGTGGAGGGAGGCAATACATTCGATTGACATCGTCAAAGCAAGTAAGTGTATCATGAGAGCAGGCGATTTCCTCTGTGTTCTCCTTCGCGTTAGCTGAAGGAACTGTCAAGTGTCGTCGCTATCTTTTAATGTCACAATCGGCGCACTTACCTAAGTACCTAACATTTAGGAATAAAATGCGAACTTAAATTCATTTAGGGAAAAAAGAGCACCTGTTGCCAAGACTGCAAGAACGCTAGCCTTGTGTGCCTTCGCAGGTTCGGATCCTGCCGGCGGCGAATTATTTTTTCGACCACTTTTCTTTTTTCACATTTACCTTACTTGTAAAAAATTACTTGTAAATAACATCCCCTACACTTTCTCTGGCATAATTGTCTGTTAGTTCTAATTAATACTGTGTGTAACGAAGAAAACGAGCACTTAAATATACACTTTCCTTCCCTCATTAAAGTTACTGTATATGCTACACTAAACGTAACATATATAGTAAACTCTGCCCTGCATATGCGGAAAGCGCCCTCCCTGAAGGCTTGCAAGCGTATGCTTGCACTCACCGTGAATCACCGGGAACTCACCGGGAATCACGTGCACTCACCGTGAATCACCGGGAACTCACCGGGAATCACGTGCACTCACCGGTAATCACGTGCACTCACCGGGAATCACCAGAAACTCACCGGGAATCACCAGAAACTCACCGGGAATCACGTGCACTCACCGGGAATCACCGGGAACTCACCGGGAATCACGTGCACTCACCGGGAATCACGTGCACTCACCGGGAATCACCAGAAACTCACCGGGAATCACGTGCACTCACCGGGAATCACCGGGAACTCACCGGGAATCACGTGCACTCACCGGGAATCACCGGGAACTCACCGGGAATCACGTGCACTCACCGGGAATCACGTGCACTCACCGGGAATCGCCAGCAGGTCACAGTATGCGTATCCTACGGCGCGCAGCCTGCTCCAGCAATCCAAAGACAGCACCTCGATGAACAGCCGGCCGATCACCGCAAAACCTACGCGTCCGTTAGTCGTGAAAAAGAAATTTCGATAATCATAATGGACGAAAACGCACCGTTTGTTATGCGTATACATGTGTGCAGGGTACGAATATGCCCATGGTAGTATGTAGCGCACACACTTCAAACACGTACGCACACACATACACGTGCGCAAGGTTACGCCCCCCCCCCCCCCTCTCGTTAGTCGAGTTCGAAAGGAAACAAGCTTCGAATTTCGCAGAGGACGCAAAAATGAAAATAAACCTAATTAAGTGATGACGTGCGTCCCAGAACGCCCTACTCTCGGAACGCAACATCTTACTTTATTTCAGTTTATTTACCCTCAATGCCACATAAAGGGGAATGGTTACAAAGTTTAAAACAGTGGTCCTCGGCCGCGTTTATCGTCAGAAATCTGCATAACCTTGCACTTAAATAAGGGGACGGGTCCGGCTGATTAAAGTTATGGGGCGCAATCTTTCTTGGCCAGATCCGTGGCTAGGTGAGGAATGCCACAGCCTCCCCCACCCCCCCACCCCGCCGTTGTTCGAATAAAGGGCGTGTTTCAATAAAAATAAATAGTGAAATTACGTGTTCTTAAAGGCCTATACCAATTGCCCTCCTCACCCCCTCCAAACAAACTACGAAAAATATTCCTGGCTACGGGACATGTCTTGGCGTATTCCTGAAATGATAATGAGGGAGGGGGGGCTGCCCTCTCGTGCACGCGCCTGTGCCCACACACCCAAACTTCTGCAGGCGCCTACGTGCTTACATGCTTTAATAAAATTAAGAACGAGTGAATAATCATCGTGTCGTATGCGAATCGAACGCTCCTGATTGTATTCGCAGTATGAGAATGCATTACCAGGAGCTACCTTTCATTGGTCTATATTTTAATGAAAGTGGCTATAACCTCACTTCTTGGAGTCTCCATTGAGAGAGATAAATTTAGATGGAAATGAAAGCGTTTAATGATTATCATTTAGGAGAGCCGCTAACAAGAACCATTAAATGGTTTATCATTCGCACAATTTTCTACGTTGATCTTATGACCTGTTTCGATATGCACACTACATATCAATATACACATGTCAAATACCACAAACACCCTTAAAAATTCAAAAGCAGGTGGATCGTTCATACAAACTTGATACGTCACGTGTTCTCGGACAAGATGAGCCCATATATGGTGTTCTGCTGTACAAAAGTGAAAATGAATTTTTCTCGAGTATTCGTATTCGATGGAACTCGGTGATTTCATTACTGGAGCAATGTCGTGAATTAAATACTCACCATATCAATAACCTAGAGTTAGACATTATTTTTGTGTGTTTATAGCGCATTTTCTAACATGCACGTTTTAGGGCTACCACAAAATCTCTTCCACGTTCCCACGAGACTCGCGTGATCGTGACGTGAACCAATTTCGGTGAAAGTAAACCGAATTATTCCGTGTGGAGAGTCTAGATACGCCTGAGGTGGATAATTTACGTAGCTGTTGAAAGAAGTCGGGTTCACTATAGAACTCGTGTCAGCCACCAATCATTTAGCGCTGCGCAGCTGATACGAGGTCATGATATTTTTTGCCAGCTGTGACCTCATATATACACGAAGACGAAATGAGAAAGCAGTCACGCAGTTATATTCATGTGTATGCTAAAAAACCACATGTAACAGTAATTAATGAAGAGTCCACCACGACAGCGTACCTCGTAATAATACCTTTGTTTTGGGTCGTAAAAGTCCATGTTTTTCAGTTATTTTCTCATACTATGCAGCCTGATTATGTGCGTCTGCTTCGATACCTCACGCACGAGATCAATATTTGGTGATGTCTTTTGTTGTTGTTGTAGTTCATGCGTGTTTTCCTCTGTGATAAAGAGGCCGTATCGTTATTTTCGAGGATAGATCGTCGCAAAGCCGACAACAGCATGGTACCGCGTACTCACCTTCCTGGTCTGAACTGCCCGCTGTGTTCTCCAATTCTAGCTCGAATGGGTGTGAGAAGTGCGCCACCTCCGCCTGTTTCGGAGAGACAGAACGAGAGGTCATCGCAATGGTAAGGCATTGGGCCATCCAAGCGGTCGTGGCTGTACACCTCTTAGGTTGGGCCGTAGCTGAGGTTAGAAGCCAACATGGCAGCATGCAGACACAACCATCTGCTTCTATCTAAACTCACGCTTGCTACTCGGTCGTCACAGCAATAAATAAAGGGTGAAATCAGCTACCACTCCGTGTCATCTCGTGCTGGGGACAAAATATCAGGTATGTTCTGTTTTTATTAGGAAATTACCACCGTTTATTTAGGCATATGCTTGCTAAGCCTAGACTCCAACAATAGGAGAAGGAATCTTTAACACGACCTACTGCACTCCTGACCTGCTCAGATGGCGGGGTTTCTATGGAAGCGCGAGCCACCGCTCTCGATCAACAGCTCACCATTGGTGGCGCTACCTATAACCTGTTCGTCTTGCCACCCTGTGGGGAAGGTGCACGTACATTGAACACGCAAAATTTTTGTAGTAGAGCTTAGACTTTCTCTTTTTTGTAAGTCCGTGATTGTATTCTGTAATTATCGAGTGAGACAAGTCATAAGGACAATTGGTGTCATAAAGACATGGGTAAAAAGGCTGTAAAGTGTTCATGATGCGGAGTGAGTTTGAAAACGGACCCAAGTGCAGAAGCAAATGGAGAGGAGGCTGACGCAAAGTGTAGGCAATGTGAGGTCGAGGGAAAAATAGAGAAAACGATGGTTGCCCAGAGTGAACTGCTGTTGAGAATCACCGAGCTGGAGACTGCGTTGGCGACAGTGCAAGAAAAAACGAGGGCAATGGGAGAAAGGCTGAAGTCCGCCGAGGAAGCACTAGCCAAGGTGAACAAAGGAGCGGCCGACGAAGAGAACAGTAGGGCACCGGCAACCAGAAGGCGGAGAAGAAAGAGCTAGCAAGTTTGGAAAAACAGGTTCAGCCGGTTCAATTGTCGCAAGGCCCAGCTTCAGCGAAGTAGTGGTGGGGCTGGGAGGGAACAAAGCAGCTGGTGTCACAGGTGCAAGTAACCCCTAGGTGCAGGACGCTCCAGCTGAAAAGTCAGCATGTGATCATCGCTGGGGACTCGAACTTAAATCGGTGCGCAGAAGCAATGAAATAGAGGGTAAGAGGTAACAACAGGGTTGCAGTAGGGACGTTCCTAAGACGCAAGCTGGAAGCAGTCATGAGGCAAGCGAGCGCAAAACTCAAAACTACAGCTGATATATGAAACCTCGTGATGATTTCAGGCGGTTTAAACGATGTCTTAAATGAAGGTACGGCAGGACTAGCGACCACACTGGCGAAAGGGGTCGATGACATGCGCGCCACTTCTCCTCAGGCACCGGTAGTGATATGCATAATACCGGAGGTACCGGTGCGTGACGACAACCTGCAAAGAGCGGTTGTCAACGCAAACCAAGAGATATGGCGGATGAGTCAAGAGAAAGGCTTTCAGGTGGTGGAAATAAACAGAGATGTGTATAGGTGGGGTGGTTTTCAACGAGACAGAGTTCACTTCGATGAGCGGCTAGGTCATGAGGAGGGTTGGCGACTTGCAGGACGAGTAGCTTCTTTGGGGGGCACGCGAGCCCTTCGGGGTGCAGGACGGCTAGTAACGAGGAAAACAACCAGGGAGACTCTTTGACAGGTGGTATGGACAGATATGATTCCAAAGTGGCACCAGTATCTAAGATAGGTAGAGTCCGGGGCATAAATAGACGTAGCCACGAGCGCCGAGCCAATTCAGACATAGTGTATATTAACATGCAGGGTGTCAGGAACAGGCTGAAGTGGGAAGAGATAGAAGAACAGCTAAGAGAGGAGAGACCGATGGTATACGGTTTTGCAGAAACAGATCTTAGGGACATGGAACAACCTCCTAACAATGCGGACTACGCGTGGGACTATTGTAATAGAACAGAAGGCAGCAGAAAGGGGGGTGGTATTGGGGCATTCTTTCATAAAAGTACAGACTGGCAAAGGGTCAAGCAGGAGTGCAAGGAACATTTATGGCTAAAAGGTAAAGCGGCAGGACAGATGACACTCCTTGGTTTGGTGTACTTGTGGACGGGAGCAAAAGCCAGGGAGGAAAACCTGGCAATGGTAGAGTGTATATCAAAGGATATTGAGGAGTTATGAGGAGAGTGCGAGATAACTATACTAGGAGATATGAATGCGCACATAGAAGATATAGATGGGTATACCGAACTAACAGGCAAAATGATCATGTATATATGTGAAAGACATGATTTGATAATTTGCAACAGTATCGACAAGTGTGAAGGGCAAATAACATGGGAGGTAGGAAGGCTGCAGTCGATGATAGATTATGCACTGATGTCACATAGGATGTATGATAAGCTCAAGGGAATGCACATAGATGAAGGTGGCTCCAGAATTCTGGGTAGTGATCACAAACGTGTCGAACTAAGTTTTGGAGGAGCAGTGAAAGTGGGAAGGAGACAAGATGAGCAACTACAGGAAAATTTTTATTCAGAAAGGCAAATAGAAATAGCTACTAAACAAATTGAGAAAGTAATCACCGAGGATAATAAAAAAGTGTGGACATACACGAATCTAATTAGACTGTTTGAGCTAGAGCTTGCTAAGGCACGAGACAAGTCACCCCAGAAAAGAAGACCCAAACAAGAGTTGGTGGGATGGGAAAGTTAAGAGAGCCATAGCAAAACATCAGGAAGCCTCTAGGGAACACAGAAATGCTAAGCAGCGGGGTGAACCGACAGATGATGTTGAAAGAAAATGGGAAATCTTTTTAAGCTGTAGAAGGGATGCATCCGTTCTGATCAATGAAAAGATTAGAAGAAAGGGAGCGCAGTGGCTCGCAGAAGTACATAAAGAAGATAGAAAGGCAGCTGCGAAATTTTGGAACCATCTAAACTCCCTAAGAAATGAGACGAGCCTAAAGCAGAGGTTCATAACTACAGCTCAAGGTGCTAGGCTAGAAGGGGACGAAGCTATTGAATATATAAGAACAAGGGGGACAGAACAATTTCAACAAAGAAGTGCTTTATGCAGCACAATAGACAAGGGTGAATCAAGTGGCGCAATGGCTCCACGAGAGTGGAAAAGGGCTTTGAAGAGGGATCCTAGTAGTACATCAACAGGCCCAGATGGCATTACAATTATGCTGATAAAGACATTAGGTCCGAAGTCTAAGCAGGTTTTGAGAGAGGCAGTGAGCAGAATAATAATCGATGGTGAAGTCTCCGATGGATGGAAACTTAGCAGGATGAGCATGATTTATAAAGGAAAGGGGGAAAAAGCTGACATAAACAACTACCGTCCTATAACAGTGACATCAGTGGTCTACAGGCTGGCGATGCAGATTATAAAGGAAAAACTGCAGGCATAAATAGAGGATAAGGGGGTGCTGGGGGAACTGCAGAATGGGTTTCGGAAACACAGGAGGTTGGAAGACAATCTGTGCTCAGTAACGTAGTGCATCGAAATAGCAGAAAAGGAACACAGCTCCCTGTGGCTAGCATTTTTGGATATCAAGGAAGCGTTCAATAGCGTGGTTCAAGAGGACTTGTGGGGAATACTGGACACACTAGCTGTTTAAGATGGAGTCATTAATCTTCTAAAGGATATCTATAAAGGTAACAAGGTAGTTATAAAGTGGGAAAAACAGGTATCCAAGCCCGCAGAGGTAAAACGGGGGCTTAGGCAGGGGTGTCCTCTGTCACCCTTGTTATTCATGATGTACCTACAAAGACTAGAGGCCATATTAGAGGTAAGTGGACTTGGCTTCAACCTCTCTTTCGTCAAACAAGGAAAACTCCTTGAACAGGCACTACCAGCATTGATGTACGCAGATGATACAGTGCTAATGGCTGACAACAAGGAAGATTTGCAGAGATTGATGGACATCTGCAGTAATGAGGGAGATGGGTTAGGTTTCAGATTCAGTAAGGAAAAATCAGCAGTCGTGATTTTTAATGATGATGAAGGTAGTAAGCTTAGAATACAGGTCACGCTAGAGATAACAGATAAATACAAATATCTGGGTGTATGGATAAGCAATGGTGCAGAGTACCTAAGGGAACACGATATATACGTGACGACTAAAGGTAACAGGAATGCAGCAGTGATGAAAAATAGGGCACTGTGGAATTACAATAGGTATGATGTTGTGAGAGGGATATGAAAAGGGGTAATGATTCAGGTCTGACGTTCGGCAAAGCGGTCTTCTGCATGAGATAAGAAGTTCAAGCAACATTAGAGATTAAGCAACGTGGAATAGGTAGGCTTGCCTCAGGAGCTCACGGGAATACACCAAATCAGGGAGTACAAGGTGACATGAGATGGACATCATTTGGGGGCGGGGAAGCTAGCAGCAAGATGAAATTTGAGAAGCGATTGAGAGAAATGGGGGAGGAGCGTTGGGCTAGAAAGGTATTCAGCTACTTTTACATGAAGAATGTCGATACAAATGGAGGATATATAAATTTTAGTCGAATCGCGAGACTCCTTTTTTAATCAGGAACTTAAGTTTTAATCGATGACAGCTGATGGCTCCTTGAGTCGTTCGCCATATAGCCCCACCGCATTCGCATGTGTGCGAACATCGCGCAAATACTCAAAGGGCGGCTTATCCCTAACCTAACCCAAAGTTCAAGTTTGCGGAGCGACGGCAACGCCGCGCTGCGCGGCAGAGGGCGCAGGCGATTCAGTGTGTTTCACCGCACGTACGGCACGCGTTATACAGTCGGTGCGGGGAACTTCGGCGCCGTGCCGTCAGCTTGGCACGCTAGAACAAGGCACTCGGTGTTCGACGTTGCTTTTTCGCGATGACAGAAGCGACCACACGAAAGCGTTAGCGAGGTCCGAATTATTGTTCTGTGCCACAAGAGCGCTGACAGTGCCAAGACACGCGATCCACCTGTAAAACTATCGGTTGCCGGACAAGTTGTGCGAAAGAGAAAGAAAACAAGCGTGTATCACCGAACTTAAATCAATAGAGTTCTAACGCTG